GGGAACCCTCTGTATTCACTCTGGTGAAGTCTTCTCTTGATTGTTGACTTTGACACACATACACCTACCTCCTGGAGAGTGTTCTTGATCTGGCCAACTGTTGTGAAGGGTGTTTTCTTCACCAGGGAAAGAATTCTTCGGTCATCCACCACAGTTGTTTTCCGTGGTCTTCCGGGTCTTTTGGTGTTGCTGAGCTCACCGGTGTGTTCCTTCTTTTTAAGAATGTTCCAAACAGTTGTTTTGGCCACGCCTAATGTTTTTGCTATCTCTCTGATGGGTTTGTTTTGTTTTTTCAGCCTAATGATGGCTTGCTTCACTGATAGTGACAGCTCTTTGGATCTCATCTTGAGAGTTGACAGCAACAGATTCCAAATGCAAATAGCATACTTGAAATGAACTCTGGACCTTTTATCTGCTCATTGTAATTGGGATAATGAGGGAATAACACACACCTGGCCATGGAACAGCTGAGAAGCCAATTGTTCCATTACTTTTGGTCCCTTAACAAGTGGGAGGCACATATGCAAACTGTTGTAATTCCTACACCGTTCACCTGATTTGGATGTAAATACCCTCAAATTAAAGCTGACAGTCTGCAGTTGAAGCACATCTTGTTCATTTCATTTCAAATCCATTGTGGTGGTGTATAGAGCCAGAAATGTTAGAATTGTGTTGATGTCCCAATATTTATAGGCCTGACTGTAATGTTCCCATAGTAAAATTGTACTACTCTAGGAAAATGATCATTTTTCTTTTTCTTTTTTTTTTAGGATTGCTTAGAGCAGTGAATTTCACTGCTATAGGCAAGCATTTAACTGAATGAAAATTGATTGTTTTATTGTTGTCATTAGCTTTGATTGGCCACAGCTAATCACATGACACAGATGGACTGTGATTAGCAATGGACTAGATGGACTAGCAACACAATTGTATACAATGGATGGCATGAAAGGAAGCCATTCATTGTGCACAGCAGGTCACACAGCAATCGTGTCCGATGGACATTGCCGGTGACAAATCTCACCCCATCAGGACTATAGTCGATCTAAGTGGATGCCAAATGACATCCTCACATATCACCACTTTGCACGTGCCCACAGGGCCATGCTGTGGCAAGATATGTCATCGGGAAGGTGGCGATCCGGGAGGATGTGATATGATGTCTACCCGCATTGACGAAAGTCATGCCTGGACGTAATTTTACTATGGGCCGAGCAGGAAAGGGTTAATGCTCAGTGGGAGCAGAACACTCTTAAATCGAGGCGCAGGGCCCTCCTATCCCTCTTGTATTGAACTGTACTGTCACTGTATTGTCTCCCGTTATATTGTAAAGTGCTGAGCAAACTGTTGGCGCTATATAAATCCTGTATAATAATAAGAATTGTTGACCAGTGGGAAAACAGCTAAACAAATAATGCAGATCAGGGATTGCTGGGAGGTAGAAACTCTTCATTGCTCAAGAAACCCTAACAAGCTCTGGAGGAACCCCAGGATTCTATGGTACCCTGATTGAAAAATTCTGATCTAGAGAGTGGGAGTTGAACTTCAACCCTAAAAATTTGAATTGTTCAGACATCCTAAATTCAGGTTATCTACAGGAAAAGGATAGAATCATATCATCTGTATAAAGAGACACCCTCTCCTCAAAAGTTCCTAATCTTCAATCCTTAAGCTACGAAGAAGTTTGGCAAAAGGCCCAATTGCGAGGGCAAATATTAACAGGGAAAGGAGGGCATCCCTGTGTTGTACCCTGGAGAAAATTAATGTTGTCTGCGAGATGATTCTTAAGTGCCAACCCAAGTGTGTTAAAGCTGATCTCCATGTTTATTGTAACTTTAAATAGTTCTTTGGACCAAGGTGGTCCAAACAAACCATTTCCATCACTAACTGATGCAGTGGCTCTCAGTACAATATGAACTCTATGTAGCCTCAGCCACATACAGTACACAGTGCTGTTTTCCCACTTGTGAGACGAGACCTTCCCACACCCAGAACAAAATAGAGTGGGGCAGAGCCATTCATAGACAGTTTGTATCCTATGAATGAACTCAAAGCTTTCTCCGAGTGGCTGAGTCAGAAAGGCGGGCTGATGACATCATGAACTCTGACATTCATTGTATTCTTTTCAGGCAGAGCATCGCTCAGCCTGATTATTTTGTCCTGGGTGTGAGACAGGAATATATTATTTCACAGCACTGTGTACTATATGCAGTGCTGAGAGCCGCTGTAGCAGTTAGCGAAATAAATAGTTTGTTTGGACCAGCTGGTTTCAAACTGACTATTTAAAGTCACAGTATTCTACTTGTGCAAAATGTTAGAGCAAACATGGAGATCAACTTTAAGTGCCATTTTTGCCAGTAAGAAAAGAAAAGAAAAAAAAAAAAGGAAATAAAAACACCACACCTTGCTGTGAATTGTTCTCCAAGTATCTAAAGAGGGATTTCAACCCCTAAAGATCTTAAATTGTTCTGACTCCTTTAAATTCCAGGTATTTACAGAGAAAGGAAATAAGCATCTAATGTAGTGTATGTGGGGGGGACCACCATCTCCTGAGTACCAGTCAGTGATTAGCCTCAGTAGGAGTACTGAAAATGTGGGCCTTGCCTCCATAGACTCCAGCAGGATACATCATGGTTTGTAAATTATACTCATGTAACCTTTTTAAAACAGAAAGGAAGGCCACTTCTTCCTTCTGGGTTTATGCAGACAAAAAAGGTAGATGGAAATCCTGTTATCGTTGCATAGCAGACCTGGGATGGTTCTTGCAGCTTTAAAGATGGCATCCTTATCACAGAAATGAAACCGCTTGGTGATCAAAAGCCTTGGTGCAGTTTCCAGTGGAGAAAGATTTGGAGGACATAAGGTGAGCTCTCTTGATGGCAAAAATGTTGGGAGAGATGCTGCAGGACAGTATTCTTTTTAAACCACTCCTCTAAATGTTCGTCACATGCCTCAAAGCCTTAAGAAGAACCCAAAAGTCTAAGCTTGTTAAGGTACATTCTGTCCTCCATGTCCCCTATATTAGGCATAAGAGAAGCAAAAAAGTTAACTGGTATTCAGTTGACACTGCTGTATGACCGCCATATATTAAAACAGTGAAGTTCCTTCCTCTGTTTCCTCCTACTCTGGGTCCTTATCCATCCTTCATAGTAGAGCTTTGATACTGGGTAGATGCCTCTGTATGTGACTTTGCTTCCCCAAGAGAGGCATTGTTGTGACATTGCTTCCTCTTTTGGTTGCAGTCTATGTGCCTCCAGGTGCCATTTTGGGCTGCGTCCCAAATGAATCATGCAAAATTGTCTGAGGGGCCATTCTGTGGGTGATGACAATGCTTCACATCACTCAGGATCCAAGGAGCCCTGGGGTGATTTGGGAAGGTATGTTTGGTGGTTGTTATGCAGGATTATAAGCAGGAGGAGATTGCAGATGGAGTTCAGGTAGAATATATACTTGCATTCTGGAAATCAGCCCCGCCCCCTAAAATGTCTAATTTACTTAAGGACATTTTTGCTGGAAGATTTAAATAGCTTTTTCCCCCCCATGATTCTTTAGAACCGGAGGATGCAGTCCTAACCAATCACACAACATTCAGGTGTATTGTCAGTCCTACACAAATTATATGGTTTCTGACCGTACTGAGAGACCCAGCTTGATAGCTGAAACAGGCCCCACCAGTATATGCCAACACACTACAGTCCACATCCATAGCAAACAAAAAGGAGTACAATGCAAAGCAAATACTTATCAGAAAGCTGGTCTGCATGAACGGCTCATCAGTAAGAATGTATGGTTAGTCACGGGTTTACAAATTTGATAAAAACGCAAATGGTGTCCATATTAAGGGGCAAGAGATAATCCAAGGGAACTGTGAGATGTGAGGGAGATATCAAATAGCTCTATTTCACAGAGAAGTCACAAACTATGAAGTGCATTCCCTGATTCAGGCATATTCACATGTAGTAGACTGACATTCTCAGCTTCAATTATAGGTAAGTGCAGACTCCAATGGGGACCTACTAACATAATAATAGGACCATCTAACATAATCAGGGCTTGACAAATAGCAGGCACCAGATCATCAAGGTGACTAGAAACTGCGGTCTGGCGCCTGGGCTTTTTCTCCTGCTCCGTGCTCCTCAGGATCACTGGGTCTGAGTCCAGGCCGAGCTGTCAGGGGGGACTTCCAGCTTCACCTAGAAGCAGGAACCAGTGGCGTTGAATGGGCTTAGCAATAGCCCCAATCCAGACACCAGGTGCTCCGGTTTCACCCTGGACAGGCTCTGAGTTGGGTCTGGACAGCCAGTGCGGTCACCTTTCAGTGACCATCAGTGCTGCCTACCAGAGACTAACTGTGCTACCTCATCACATCAGTGAAAAAGAAAAATGACCCCTTTATAAAAATAAAAAACCCAAAAAGGTGATCAAATACCACCAAAAGAAAGCTCTGTGTGAAAATTTAATATGGGTACAGTGCTGCATGACCACGCAATTGTCAAAGTGTGACAGCACTGAAAGCTGAAAATTGGCCTGGGAAGGAACGGGGGTAAAAGTAACCAGTAGGCAAGTGGTTTTTTTTTTTTTTTTTTTTTTTTTAAAAGCCTGGCGCCTATATTTAAAGCAAATTTGACAAGCCCTGATGTAAACTGTTTTTACCGAGATATGTTGTTCACTTTAAAAAAAACAAAAAAAAAAAAAAAGTCTTTCTAAACACAACTGTAGACAGTAGAAGCCCCTAAATGGCAATGACCACAACTGGAACATTTCTCATTGGGCACAGTAGTTACCTCAAATTGCCTGCACAGGCACATTAGAACAAGGTAATGAATATAGAACGTAGATCCTACTGAAAAATATCAGTTCTCAGTAAGGCAAAAAAAGTTTATTAATGAAAATACAATATTAGTACACAATGAAGACAATACTTGTATGAAGACATCACCTTAAAAAGAAAACTAAAAATCTAAAATGTTAGTTCCTAACCAAAAATATAAAAACACTTACTTTTTTACTTTGGGATACTTCATTTCAGATAAGACATTAGTTGATTCTTTTTGTTTCCCCTTTAAATGTGAAGGCCACATGTTATCTACCCAGTCAACTGCGTCTACCTATATGAATTTAAAATCTAGATTAGATCACAAATAGATCATTTAGGGGAAATAATTCACACAACTTTCAGAAAGCTCAAAATTATATGGTCTTAAAAAAACAAACACACTTCCATGTATTATGCGCTTCAAGGGCTTTAAATCTTTTAGTAACTCTGTGTCGAGTCTAACTATACTTACAGCAGTTACAACTCACTTATTACAGCCAACTTTATACATTCTGCATGCTCAGAGTTGGGAGCTATGGTGTGTGTGTGTGTGTGTGTGTGTGTGTGTGTGTGTGTGTGTAAAAACATATTCAAGCTATAGTTATACAATGGATATGGGATGAAAGTGCACACTCTCAGGTTTAATTTGAGGGTATGTACATCCAAATTGGAGGAAGGGTTTACGAATTACAGCTTTTAAGAGTGGCCATCCCCCCTTTTTCAAAGGACCAAAAGTAATTGAACATTTTATTTATGGATATATTCAATTGTCCATTAGTAAAGGATTCTCAACAAAATATTACAGACAATGACTGCCTGAAGTCTGGAACCCATGAACATTACCAAAGACTGGGTTTCCTCCTTTCTGATGCTTTGCCAGGCTCTAACTGCAGCTGTCTTCAGTTGTTTTGTTTGTGGGTCTTTCTGCCTTTAGTTTTGCCTTCAGCAAGTGAAATGCATGCTCAATTGGGTTGAGATCAGGTGATTGACTCAGCCATTGCAGAATATTCCACTTCTTTTCCTGCAACAGCTCCTGGGTTGCTTTTGCAGTGTGTTTCGGATCATTGTCCATCTGTACTGTGAAGCGCCGTCCAGTCAACTTTGCTGCCTTTGGCTGAAAGTATCTGTAAACACTGCAGAATTCATCCGGCTGCTTCTGTCTTTCACATCATCAATAAACACCAATGACCCAGTGCCACTGGAAGCCATGCATGCCCATGCCATCACACAGCCTCCACCATGTTTTACAGATGACGTTGTGTGCTTTGCATCATGAGCTGTTCCAAGCCTTCTCCACACTTTTCTTCTTCCAGTCATTCTGGTACAGATTAATCTTCTTTTCATCCATCCAAAGAATGCTTTTCTAGAACTGGTCTGGCTTTTTTTTTTTTAGATTTTTTTTGGCAAAGTCTAATCTGGCTTTTCTATTCTTCAGGCTTATGAATGGTTTGCACCTTGTGGTGAACCCTCTGTATTTGCGCTCATGAAGTCTTCTCTTGATTGTAGACTTTGACAATGATACGCTTACCTCCTGGAGAGTGTCCTTCACTTGTCTGGATGTTGTGAATGCATCTTTCTTTACCATAGAGAGGATCCTGCGATCATCCACCACTGTTGTCTTCCGTGGACGTCCATGCCTTTTTATGTTGCTGACCTCACCAGTGCGTTCTTTTCTCAGAATGTGCCAAACTGTTGATTTGGCCACTCCTAATGTTGCTGCTATCTCTCTGATGGATTGGTTTAGTTTTTGAAGCCTTACAATCGCCTGTTTCACTTTCATGGACAACTCCTTTGAATGCATGATATAGGTTCACAGCAATAGATTCCAAATGCAAATACCACACTTAGAATCAACTCCAACTTTTACCTGCTTAATTGATGAAAAAATAAACAAAGAAGGAGTAGCCCACACCTGGCCATGAAACAGCTTTTGATTCAATTGTCAAATTACTTTTGGTCCCTTGAAAAAGGGGGGGATGGCTACTCTTAAGAGCTGTAATTCCTAAGCCCTTCCTCCAATTTGGATGTACATACCCTCAAATTAAACCTGAGAGTGTGCACTTTCAGCCCATATCCATTATATAACTATAGCTTGAATATGTTTTGGTAAATACCTGAAAAAAAAAAAAAAAAAAAAAAAAAAAAAACTAAAAAATTGTGCCTGTGTCTAAATATATATGGACCCAACTGTATATCTCTCTCTACACATATACACACACAGCTCTAAAAAATTAAAGGAACACTTTGAAAACACATCTCAAATGGGGAAAATATCATGCTAGATATCTAAACTGATATGGACTGAATAATGTGTTCGGAATGCAAGGATGCCCCATTGTTTGAATTCAGTCCTCTGCAGGTTGATCATTTTTCATTTCTGACAAAGACACCCTGAAAATCAACGTGAAAAAAAAAAAAAAAAAAAAAATGATGCAGCAGGCTAGTCCATTTTGCTGAAATTTAATTGCAGCAACTCAGAACAGTACTGTAGTTTGTACGGCCCCCATGTGCTTGTATGCATGTCTGACAACATCGAGGCATGCTCCTAATGAGACCACGGATGATGCCCTGGGGTATTTCCTCCCAAATCTGGACCAGGGCATCACTCAGCTCCTGGGCAGTCTGAGGTGCAACGTGGTGGTGTATGGAATGAACACGATATCCTAGAGGGGTTCTATAGGATTTAGGTCAGGCGAGTGTAGGGTCCATTCAATGGTCTCAGTTCCTTCATCCTCCAGGAACTGCCTGCATACTCTCACCAGATGAGGCCGGGCATTGTCGTGCACCAGGAGGAACCCAAGACCCACTGCACCAGCGTAGGATTTCATCCAGATATCTATTGGCAAACAGGGTGCCACTGTGTAGCCTGTAGAGGTCTATGCAGCTCTCCATGGATATGCCTCCTCAGAGGCATCACCAAAAGGTCATGCTAAACAATGTTACATAACATTGTCTACGTCTTCTCCAAACCCTTTCACATGTGCTCAGAGTGAACCTGCTCTCAACTGTGAAAAGCACAGGGTGCCAGTGGCGGACCTGTCAATTCTGGTGTTCAATGGCAAAATGCCAATCGAGCTCTATGGTGCCAGATAGTGAGCACAGGGCCCACTAGAGGACATCAGCAAACCTTCTGGCAATGGCACGTATTGATGTGCCATCCAGGAGGAGTTGGACTGCCTATGCAAACGCTAAGGTCCAGGTATAGCCTCATGCTACCAAAAGTGACACTGACCCTAGCCAAATGCAAAATTAGTGAAAAAACAGTCAGAAAAGAGGACTACGAAAAAAAAATGTCAGTGACCTCCACTTGTAAAACCATTCCTGTTTTGGGGGTTGTTTCATTGTTGCCCATCTAGTGCACCGGTTCATTTCATTAACGCCAAAAGCAGCTGAAACTGATTAACAACCCCCTCTGCTACTTAACTTACCAGATCAATATCCCAAGAGTTTAACTGACTTGATGCTATACTCTTGATTGAAGTATTCCTTTAATTTTTTGGAGCAGTGTGCAAATATATATATTTATATACATACATACATACATACATACATACATACATACATACATACACACACACACACACACACACACACACTTAAATTAGTGAATCTGCAGTTCTCGCAGTCCCTGCAAAGCCCACAAGCAACTGTTGAGCTCACCAGTGAAGTTCATGCAGCTTCCTGCGATGGTGTGGCAACTGCATGCACTGCTCCGGGATTCAAAGCAGAGTAGCCACTAAAAATTATTCAGATGGTGTGGCTATCAGCATGGTCACCGCTAATACAAACATGTAAGCTTGTCAATCAGCACCTGGCCACACCTAGTCTTGCCCACTGCTTTCTGCATTGACAACACTGCTTTTTTGCTTCATGACATAAATTAAGAAAACACTTGGCTCATTTCGGAAGGGTACAGTAAAGGGTTTTTTTTTTTTTTAATTTTTGAGGCATGTGCAACACAAAGTGGCTATTTGATTAGACGGTCACACCTTTTAGTTGTAATTTAAAATTGCTACATCATTCTTCTGACACACATTGCTCTATGTTTCAAACAGTGTTGTGGAACAGAAAGATTACGGACATCACATATCATAAAACCAGCATATGAGATAACCATAGATTTTTTTTTTCTCTGCAATAGCAAAGGGAATCTGAAGATGCCAGTGCCGTCGAGGGCCCCAGACCATTAGAGAGGAGGTAAGTAACTGCCTTCAATCCTGCTTAAACACTGCTGGCACCCATCCTACGTGCAAACTGCCTTCGTTTTGTGCCTGCATTCACCCTGAGCTACGTGCAGGCTACCTATAGAGATGCATCAAAATCTGACAGCTGTGCAGGACAGGTGCCATTGCCCATCTGAATGAATCCATATTGTATAGAATGAGGAAGAAGGGAGACTTATTTGCCTGGCAAGCAGGAAGATCTCACCAAAGTCACCAAGAGACAAAGAAAGTCAATGGATCCACTCAAAGTTTGACTAGTGCAGATAGGTTGTAATTTTCATACATAAAATCAAATCGAAAGGAAAGAAATTTCTAGCACAAAAACATAGTTCTAATAGTAAAAGCATCTGCAGAACAGGAAACCCTTGGTAGAACAACAACTTATTCAGCATACATGTTTTTTGCAATAACTAAGGGAGAAAAAAGGATCATACCACAGCTGGCCTCTTGACTACTTTCTCTAGCTTGGTGTGGCTAAACTCCAGGCTGATCACATTGTACAGCTTCTCCCTTTCCATTTCTGGCGTCTCATAGTAGCGAACAAACTGTGACATACTCATGTCTGTACCCTTTTGTGTGTCCACATCCATCACATCAACTATACGCCGGCTTCCTACAAGAAACAGACACTGCATGGTCATCCAGCTAAATCACTCATTTTCTGACATCCAGTGAAATAACCGACATTAGATGAGTTGTTATGCAAGAAAGATGTGCCTATCAAAGCTGATCTTATGGCACAAAAAATAAATAAAAAATAATGCAGCTATGTATTGATTCATTTATTAATAAAAGTATTTTTATGCAAGCACTGCAAGTACCTTCATTTGACCTGGTATCAACCTTTTGCAGTCCTGTACAGCCAAGCTCTGACTAGGGGAGGGAGAAGCAGCACAAGGAGCCAATCAGTAGTGCTCCAGTACAATGGAGCATGCAAATAGGAGAGAGCAGAGTGACAGAGAGAGAGAGAAGCTTATTGGTCTGCTGATTTTCCTTTCACTGTCCAGCCACAGGCCAGATGAGGGACAAGACCTGTGAATGTTACGGATCTGCAGCAGAGTAAAAGGTCTGACAGCCTTTGGTACGCTATGTGGCACATAGTAAATTTCAGGAATAGATATACAGAAAAGCATATAGTCTGGCAGTTAAAATTGTGACCTTAAAATGTACTTTATAGGTGTTTTTAGCAGTTTGCTTGGAGTTTAGCTCTAAGATTGCTTGAACATTTTGCATGTTATGAATGATTATGGCCAAGCATGTGCCTTATACTTCCAGACTTGGATATTACAAGAGAAGCATGGTTTGCCTATCAATTACTTGCAGCGCATGAATCTAGAGCAGTGGTTGCCAACTTACAAAGTAAAGGAGGCCTCAAATGTGGCCCCTGATGTCTCCTATAGAACAATCTGACCATTTCCTCTAGTAAGGACCTGTGTATATAGCTCTTTGGAGTGGTTGGAGACTGAAGATTTCCTATAGCAGATATTCAAAGACAATGGACATGCTACATGAAATTTTCAGAGATTACTGCGATTATAGGCCCCTGTACAAACTGATGCTTCCACTACTGACTGCTAGAGCCAGAGGGCCACATTTCAAACATCAAAAGGGACTCACGTGGCCTTCTGGCTGCAATTTGAGCATCAGGGATCTAGAGAGATAGGTGACGAGGAGTGTACATGTGTAACCCGGCTAACCAAGGACAGCGACTACTCAGTACAGAGAAGAAACATCCCACAGATTGGTTATGGCCAGTAGCCAAACCAAACATCTAATTGAATTGCAGATGTTGAAAAAAGTAAACGTACACTTGTCAGGAAAAAAAAAAAAAAAAAAAAAAAAAAAGACTAAGTGCAAACATGATTCATCAATCTCTTAATATCTTCAGACACAAGAAAATAGATCTGTACGGAGATAAAAATATATGGGCTGCAACTACTGACATACTTTCTATTTGCGTATATTCAATAGAGAAGATGGGACTTTCAGGGTGCATAGACATGAATACCACACATTAAAAGTTATTTAATTTTTATTTTGTATTTTGGTAAAACACAAGAAAGGAAAAAATACAGAAACATAAAAACAATTTCAATTCTAAGAATACCAACTGAGATCCAAACTTGGTTAGGTAAACGTAGTTACTCCCTACATGTTTCACCCTCACAGGCTTCTTCAGGGAAGATTTTTTGAGGAAATTTCTACCGCCAAGGCAGTCTAAGGGTATATCAAAGGGAAATTGTTCAATTACCAAAGAACTTTAATATATCCAATACAAGGTATTTAATCAAATATATATATACATATATATGGGACTCAATGGCTCACCCTGGGTGTGAAAGCTCACGGAGCTAGGAGAAAATGACCTAAAAAAAAAAAAAAAAAAAAAAAAAAAAAAAGATCTTAATTGGCCTACACGTCCAAAACAGTTGTAGAGGATATATTGGGTATCAGATATCATCTAGGCACAATGGGATAGACAAAAAAAGATTAATTGAGGCAGCACAGTGGTCAAATGTTAACACTTCCGTCTGGCAGTACTAGGGTTGCTGGTTCAAATCCCGACCACGGCACCACCTACCTGGAGTTTGCATGTTCTCCCTGTGCCTGCGCGGGTTTCCTCCGGGTACTCCGGTTTCCTCCTACTCTCCAAAGACATGCTGGTAGGTTAATTGGCTCCTGTCTAAATTGGCCCTAATATGCGTATGTATGGATGTGAGTTAGGGACCTTAGATTGTACACCTTTTGAGGGTTAGGGACTGATGTGAATGTACTATATGTAAAGCGCTGCGTAAATTGACAGCGCTATACAAGTACCTGAAATAAAGTAATTAAATTTAAACGGAAGATATGAAGAGATCATAATTCAATATGTTGAGATAAACTTTAGGCAATTTTACCTGTTAAATGCTTTAGAAGGATATATAGGTATGACCGAACAAAGATCTATTTGACCTATATGTTCACAACCATAACAGAGGAAACAATGGACATCAAACATCCATCTAGACAAAATGTCTTTGTCTAGATGGATGTTTGATGTCCATTGTTTCCTCTCTTATGGTTGTGAACATATAGGTCAAATAAATGCTTAAGAAGGATATATAGGTATAACCTAACAAAGATCTAACAGGTAAAATTGCCCAAAGTTTATCTCAACCTATTGAATTATGATCTCTTCATATCTTCCGTTAAATTTAATTTATCTTTTTTTGTCTATCCCATTGCGCCTAGATGATATCTGATGCCCATTATATCCTCTACAACTGTTTTGGATGTGTAGGCCAATTAAGATTTTTTTTTAGGTCATTTTCTCCTAGCTCCGTGAGCTTTCACACCCAGGGTGAGCCATTGAGTCCCATATATATGTATATATATTTGATTAAATACCTTGTATTCGATATCCTAGATTGTAAGCTCGAAAGAGCAGGGCCCTTGATCCCCTCATGTTTTGCATTGTATTGGTATTGTTCTGTCACATGTTCGGTCTCCCTTTCTAATGTACAGCGCTGAGCGAACTATTGGCGCTTTATAAATACTGTATAATAATAATAATAATAATATATTAAAGTTGTTTGGAAATTGAACAATTTTCCTTTGATATACCTTTAGACTGCCTTGGAAGTAGAAATTTCCTCAAAAAATCTCCCCTGAAGAAGCCTGTGAGGGCGAAACATGTAGGAAGTAACTAAATTTACCTAAGTTTGAATCTCAGTTGGTATTCTTAGAATTGAAATTGTTTTTATGTTTCTGTATTTTTTCCTTTGTGTTTTTTACCAAAATACGAAATAAAAATTATAGAACTTTTAATGTGTGGTAATCATGTCTATGCACCCTGAAAATCCCATCTTCACTATTGAATATTTGCAATTTTAAAGGGATGTGGTGCAATAATCATATCTGGTCACTTGCTCGCCACTTCACTGTTTCTATTTACGTAGCTGTCTCTTGCACAACACATTCTCTGAATCACTAATCTGGTGCAAGTATTATAGAACAAAGTGAATTACCACATGTTCCAGGCTGCAAAGTGGCTAGAACGGAAGCCAGAAAATTGGCATAAAAGCCAGGCAACTAGCCTTTCATACCTTACTCAAACTTTTCAGTAGAAGGGCAATTGCAGTTAATCTCTCTATTTGTATTTAATTTTTTTCCCAAAGAACGTTTTGTCATCAAATCATACAAATTGCCAATTTTTTAAATCTATGACCCCAGAAGCGGCTGTCTTTGTGTGACTACAGCTGAAAGGACGAGACTATATGGCTTAGAGCATTATGAAGAAGTACCACTAGAGGGCAATGCGATGTAAGAAACTTCAAACTGATCATATGATGTGCTAAGAAGGGAAACACCAATGCACAAAGGCTGTAACCTCAAGCATCCAATCAGATTTGGCACTAAAATCAGATCAGTGACAAATTAACTCGGATTGGATGCTATGAGAAATAGCAAACATTACGATCTCCTTCTTAAATAAAACGGGAGGGGGGGGAGTAAACTGTAGTGTTGCATGACAACAACAATTTCTCTGCAATTGAACACATTAAAACATTGAGGGAAGAAAAAAAAAAAAAAAAAAAAAAAAAAAAAAGGGCCAAAAAAAACTTTAGAGAATGCACAGATGAATTACAGTTTATTCAAAGTATAGCGTAGAATGTTAATGAATCCGAGTGGTTTCAACCCAAACTAGCAGTCCAAGGGTGAACATACGCAGTGGGTGCTGGAGGGGGTTTCTGTCCCGAGTTACCCCCAATTACGTTTCTTACTAGGGATGCACCAATACCATTTTTTTTTGATCGGCAAGCACGAGTACCGATACGTCACGGTGTAATTTGCATCAAGACAAAAATGTATGGATGCAAATTGCACCGCAAAGAATAGCATGTGATTCATGTCCAAATCACATGTGGTTTGCACACTGCTCCTGTGTGAACCCAGGCTGGTCACAGCAGCAGTACTAAAAACCTCCCTGTACTGATCCCATGCGGAGCAGAGAGTGGGAGAGAAGGATGTGTGGGGATACCTTGGTGTCTGTCATAAGAGGATGACGGCAGATGCTCCAGATTCTTAGCTGTAGGAGAGGAGAGAAAGCTATGGCAATGCTCTGGATTTTCAGCTGTAGGAGAGGAGAAGAGAAAGGCGCGGGGATTTGAAATTCCTTGCAGTGATGACTGTACATGCTAAACTACTTGATTGCTCAGCACTGTGGCAGTGCTGACCAATCAGAAGAAGTCTAGTCCATACTGTCATCCCTGCCAGGATGAGAGAGAAAGCTGCAAGGATTTCATTCCCTGCAACTTTCTGTCCTCTCCTACAGAATCCAGAGCATCTACCTCCATCCTCTGCCCGATAGCCGACACCAATGTGTATATCCCCACACAACCTTCTCTCCTCGCTATGACAAGCCTGAGTTCACAAAGGAATAGTGGGGAAGCCACATGTGATTTGGACAGGAATCGCATTCCTGCCCAAATTGCATGTTATTCTTTGTGATGCAATTTGCGTTGATACATTTTTGTATGGATGCAAATCGCACCGCAAAGTATCAGGAGTATTTTCATGAGTACTCATGACAATATTTGGTATCAGTGCATCCCTATTGCTTACTTATGT